TTAAATTCACTTGCCTTTCATGACTTTTAAACACTGGTTGAAGAGTAACAATACATTGCAGCTTTCATGTTGAGTGCTCAAAGAGCTTACATAGTGCTTACATCTCACTAGAGCAGAGAAGGGGATAACCTAGGGAGACCAAGGGACAGGAAATGTGTGAAATGCCATACGGACCGGACAAAAAGCCCTGAAGTGCAGCCTGTGTTCTCCTGACTGGCAGCACTCTGTCCATTGCAATTCTATGCTTCTGAGGCTAAACAACGCAGAGAAGAGAGAAGGGAATTTCAGGTGGTTACAAGTAATAGAAACTGTTCCAGAGTAGACAGGTAATCCAATAAAGGTGACTATGTACGAAGACAGAGACTGGAAAAGACATAAAGAATTAGGAGGAAAATTGCAATTAATAAGAAGAGGTTTTATATCAAATGTCTTTGAAAATGATGAGTGAGCAAACAGCAGCTACATTGCTATCTACTAACAGGGGATAATACAAGAGATATGACACTAGCCCTAAATATGCAAGCTCTGGATCCACATGTACCACAGAGACTGACTTTGATTTGGGTTGTGTTAACAAGAAGCAGTGTCCAAAAAGAAAAGAATTGTGCTGGCAGATGGTTCATTGTCCTCCTCCTATTATTCCCTGTGCTTTTGATCTGTAGAGGACTATCTGGAACTGAAGTAACGAATTAAAGTCAGTTAGATACAAGGTATGCCCCAATGCAAGAGGAAGCAGGAAGACAGGTTTACTTCATAGTATTTCAAATAGTAACCTTATTTCTAAGATTCTTATTTCTAAGAATTAGAAGATCAAAAGCTTTTGTGATGTGATGCTTATATATATACATACACTTTGATCACTGTCAGAGATGGTTTGTGTCAGTACGGCAGGTGGAACTTTCATCGCTTTTGAAATACACAATATACTGAAAAATGCAAACATATCACAGGGAAAAAAAAAAAGATATGCAGCTGAACACAAGGGCAGCTCTCTGCAAAAGCTATTTCATACAGTGTCACACAGCAATCAAGGATCCTGCCAACTCTTGAAGTGACAATAAGCTACCACAGAGACAACACGATCTGCTCATAGATTCATTTCCCTTCCTCCTAAAGCCCAGTGCTGCTTTAGAAAACAACACTGCTGTGTAGTGAACTTAATCAAATGCTACTGGGCAGAAGATTTTTGTTGTTCTTCCCCCCCGCCCGCCCCCCATTCCTACCAAGAATGGGAGTCTCCAGTGACCTAAGGCTGGCAAGCACCATTGGATCCTTAGGTGGTCATAGTGGGCAGATGCAGCCAAAAAGGAAACAATCATCAGAATTTTACTGTTGCCACCAAAAATGACAGTATTTCCCTTTTCTAAACAGAACAGAGAGAGAATTAGTCACATCTTGTTCCTCCAATTTCTCTTTCAAGAGACTTTTTTTAGCCTCAGATTCTATAGCTGTGGGGAGAGAGTTGAGCAAGGGGGAGGTTTATTATTATTTTGGTGCATTGAATTAAATGAGAGACAGAAAAACACAGGAAACAGTATCTATTGCAATCTGAGGCTTAAACATATTTGACAGTATATTCAACAGCTTTGCCTGTCTCACAGCCCCAGGCAAAAACATGCCCCTTTCCCTGCTGTTCCTTCATTTCATGCTATAATGCTTCCAATCCTCCTTTAAAAAGAATTATGTACATTATCTACCTGTTGCACAGAATCTCCTTCCTATCGCCACCCATAACCTTGGCAGATGTTGCTCCATCATTATGAGTAAAAGCTTGAGTCATTTGGTTCAGGGAGGAAATAGCATCTAGGAAAAGTGCCTTGATGAATTAAAAAAAGAAGGCAAATTCTTCTTGCTAAATACTATCTAAAATGACAGTGGGGAGTTGGAATAAAAACTGAAGGAAACAATATGCAGAACAATGTTTTCTAGATTTTTTCACTATGCTGCATAGTTTTGTCTTCATTTAATCAAATACAGTTCTATTTAGCCCATCTGCATCTCTGAATGTGTCCTATTGATGTTACCTTCTGATGTTCCTCTACCATTTCAGACTGATGAAACTTCGAACATCTCAGCTTTTCTTCCCCATTCC